GCAGGACAGTCCCCAAAGCATGGCCCTGGCCCTGGTGGTCAGTCCCAGCTTACCAGTGCAGCTCTGCCTTGCCTCTGCTTCCCTGATGGCTCTCTGTGGTGCTAGAACAAGGAACAGATACCCAGAGTTCTCTGGGCACCATGCTAACAGCATTCCCACCCCCACCTGGCTCCTTGTGCTAGACCAAGTTCATGCCCACTTGTCTGTACAACTCCCTGGGTAGTCAGGCATGCTCTTGGCCTTGTCACAACCTTCCCTTTGAAGGACAAACCACATTGCTCTTTCTTTTGAATAGACATTGTACTTGGCATTGTCTTTCTGGGAATTATTGTCTTTTTTTTCCCTCTAGATCATAAAAAAGAACAGAGCCCTTTTTCACATGTTTGCCCCCCTGCCCCTGACCCTGGGATTGATTATTGAAAAAAACCAACACTCTTCCCCTTTCATCCTCTCTGGCCTTGGCTCCTAAGCTCCCCTTCCAGCCCCACAAAATAATTGTCCTCCTCATCCCTGACATTATCCCTTCCATCTCTCCACCCCTGTCCTTCCTGTTAAAACTGTCTCTCTGCTCTGACAATGGTTCAGATGACACCCTCTCCTGAAACTTAGAGCCTCTGCCCTCTAGGCTCCCATTAGGTCAGGCTTGTGATCATATCTGGCTTTGAGTAAGTATTTGTTTAATTTTGCTAAGTGAAATAAGCCTGAGTTGGAAAAAATATATGACTCGCCTTATATGAAGTCTCTAGAATAGGCAAATATGTAGTGATAGAAAGCAGAATAGAGGTTCCTGGGAGCTAGAGGGGGCGGGGTGCAGGGAGTTTCTTTTGATGGGAATACAGCTGATATTGCGATGTTGAAGATGTTTTGTATACGGTGGTGATGTTTGTGGTGATGGTTACACAACATTGTGAATGCATTTGGTCAGTTGTACACTTAGAAGAGGTTAAAATGATAAATATTATGTATATTTTAGTACAGTAGAAAAAAAGTAACTAAAAAACCAGAGAAGTTATTTGTTTAAATAGTTTTTCCTTGTAGATTGCAAGCTTGTAGGGATGGGGAGAAAAAAGGCCTTTCCATCTTTACTCAGCACATGCTGCATCAGATACTCACTTCAATTCAGGAATGGAAATCAATGCAAAGAAGTACATATTTAAGGCAAGGCTTCCCCATACTTCTTAGCAATTTTGAAATTTAATTTTACTGTGAAATTGATTTAACACAGAATCCTCTTTAGTTGGAATTCCTTGCTGAGACTGTCTTAATGTTTAATGACATTAAAAAGCATTCAAAACTGCTTTCTATTTTCTTTTTTAGATTTATATTATAGGCAGCATTCTAGCTAATTCAACTTGAATAATAACTGTCATTTCTGTAACAACTAAGAGCTGATTCTGAGGGTTCTTTCAGGCCTCATACCATTTGAAGTCACAGGAAGAGTCAGCTTCTTGTGCAGTGTCACTGAAAAACTGGTATTCCTGCTCCTTGACTTCTGAATTCTTTCTTGCATAAGTTGAAGGGTGTACATTAAGCCATAATCATAAACATTTCAGTTCATATAATGCTCTGCTGGTCTGCCATTGTAAATTATGTGGTTTCATGCTAGACGTAGTCTTACAACTTAGAAAGGAGCATAAAGTTCTTAACCTGAGCTCTGCACCAAGACAAGGGTAGAGATACCAAGAGAGAAGTGAAGCATTTATTTGGAGGAATACATAGGCACTGAGACAGGGTCAGGTTACTGGACTTCTTGGTTTTTCTTCTAATTTTGAAAAATTGGTAGTTTTTATATTCTGTCAATAAACTATTGCCCAAGGCTATTTCATATAGTTAATTATTATAGAGAAGAAACTATGAATTTAGAGTCTATTTTCTTATGCAAAATACAATCATGGATCAGTTTCTAAGATATCTAGTATTTGCTTAAAATACTCCAGGGAAGAATATAAATAAAACATGGTGGGGAGCTAACAGATAGGTGTTGAAATGAAGTATTGGGTGCCTAGGTGATGGTATGACAGTATTTTCAGTGTTTGTGTAAGTTTGAAGTTTGCCAAAATAAGAAATGAAGGAAAACAGAAATAGATTCTGAATTGAGGTGGCCAGTGAGCTATTATTTTTTAAGCCTGCTCAGTTAATTCAATGAATGAAGGTACTTGAAAACAAGGTTCTCTTACTTGGCTTAATGTGCTATCAAGATAATATCTTGAGAATTTATTACCAGTCTATATTTGAAATCCAGAGTCAGACTTTTATATGTCTTAAATAAGGTACATTTTGATACACCCACACCCTCCAAAAATGTATGTATACAAACACCCAGAAAAAACTATAAAGAAAATAGTTTATAACTTGGTTTGAGAATTTCAGACATCTTCAGATATACTATAGGTGTCACTGGCCTAAAGATCCATGTAGAAAATTAGGCCTGCAGGTGAGGAGCCCCCATGGGACTCATGAACATCCTGCCAGTCCTGTCATACAGTGACTATACAACTCTGCTACCTGAGTTCAGTGTGTTAACGGGCTAAGCAGTGCCTACAATGCAGGGTATGGCACCAGGCTGAAAGGCTGGCTATCTGACACACTTCATTTTACAATACTTGTCTGACCACATGGCTTGTCAATAGCTAGTTATAAGGGGTTCTGCCTGGAGCCCTCAGTTGATCCTTACAGGCTAGCCATAGAAGGAACTGCTTCCTGCATTCACTTGACACTCCCCAGGTGTAATTTTTCTCTCCTTTCCCTTAGGTCTTGCCTTCTGCCCTCTAGCTCAGATCTAGCAGTGTCAAGGGCACAGGTAGAGGGGAGAAAAGCTACTTCACAGTCTGGTAAGAGCCATGAAGTAACGAAGAGAGGAGAGGATGAATCAACATGTGTGCCTCCTGGCTCAGTGTGGCTGGGGGTCAAAGATTTCTGCTGGAATCCACACTTTCTTGGAAAGATGGTATAAATGAGTGAAGTTCCAGTTGGTAGTGACTTGTGTCGTTAGTACCCCCTCAGTTGCTCTTTCTGTGCCTTTTGGCACCTGTCCTCTTCCCACCTTTGCCAAACTGTTGAGAGGCCTCCAGTAGGCCAAAGACAGACTCTGAGGAGGCACAATGGCCTGCAGAGAACTCGACTGTTGTGTTTCCCTTCCCATATGGTGTGTGTTTCAAGCAACTCTGGGGAAGAGAAACTGCACACCCGGAAGGTGGAGTTCATGCCTTGTTCAGCCTTGCATCCCAGCACCCAGCACAGTGCCTGGAGCAAAGGAAGTGACCCTAAATGTTGCAATGGAAATGTTGACTGGCAGAATTCCCATGCCTGTGAGCCTAGGTTAGGATCATATTCAGGTAGGTGCATCTTTGAAATCAGGCAGGACTTTGGGGGTCCTTCAGCTCTTTTAGGTAGGGCATAATAGGAGACACTCCTGTTAAAAGACAAGCATTTAAAAGTATTTCCAAAGTATAAATGACTCTACAAATGGGTGATGGTGTTATCTAGGATAAGGAAAATCCTTCACATGTCTGAGAAATGGGTGATGGAGACATTTAGGAAAAGGAAAAACCCTTCACATGCTGGAAGTCACTTGAAATAAGAATGAACTTCTCCATCACAAGGAAACCTACTAAGGGTGTCAAGCAGCCATGTGCCAGGTACTGTGTCCCTAAGGGATGCAACTGTGAGACAGACATGGTCCCTAACCCCATGGAGCTTAGATGTTGGGGAGCTGAATTCCTAAAGTATATTCCTGATCAGGTATTTCACTCAACTGTGACAAGCACCATGACCAAGAAGAGGGAGCTGGGCTCACCTGCTGAGTGCATGGCCAGGGGAGGCTTCGGGGAAGTGCAGTTGGATGTGATCATCACAGAGTGGAGAGGACCTACCCTGCACAGATGGAGGGGTGTCAGGGAAAGGTGGAGCATCTGCATGAGCCCTGAGGCTAGACGGAGCATCAGGAGGCAGTAGAACCAAGTCCATGTGGCCAGTGTACAGACAGGATGGTGAAGTGGGTGTGAGGCTGAGAGGTCAGCAGGTCCAAGGCACATGGCTCTGCCACTGAACCACGCTCATGGTTGCTCAAATGGCATCCCAATCAGCTGTCTGAATGCAGCTCCTGTAATCATGACAAACACTTCAAAATCTACAGTGGAGTGAAAGTGCAATCAAGGGAAAACCTATTCTCAATTCTGGCCTTGACTGCTCACTAGGTTAGGGATAGGAGTTTTGGGGAAAAGTATATCAAGCCACATGGGGGCAGGGTGTCAGCAAAGAAGCAGTCAGTCAATATTACCATAATTTGGGAACACTATGGTGAATACCTTGGAAAGTGTGGTCTTCTGAGACTTTCACTGAGAGTTAGAGAGATCATTGAGTAGTCACAAATGCACATTCAACTTGAATCTACCTGTAGATTAGCTCAGGATTAACCTCCATTTTCCCCATGATCAAGGGACATAGTGTCAACCCATAACTGGCAGTCAGATTATATTTATGGTTAGATTTCAGAACTGCCCAAGACTGTTTTGGCAGGATGTGTCCTGATGGGGGGAAGGAGGGTGAGAGTTGGGAGTGTTAAGCAATCCAAGTCCAGATTAAATTTTCCAATCCAGGCTGCTTGGAAGGAGCATTAATCTTTGGGTACTCCTTACGTGTAAATACCACTGCTGGACAGTTAATTGCATAGTGTTTTAATTCTTGTGGGTAAAGAGAGTCATTTCTCGGGACCTCTAATATTTGCCAACCCTAAGGGAAAGGCAAGGTGCCTGAGTCAGGCATCCCATCCTTCCAGGGTGGTGACCTGTGAATGTGAGGAATGAGTGGGTGAACTGTTGCCTCTCACTTGGGCCCCCACCACATGCCGTGCACTGACAGTCTGCATGTTGTCCTACTGAGAGGTTTCCACACAGTCCACAGTCTCTGCTGTTCACAGCTTTCCTTCCTCTGTCATCCTGACTCTAGGTCATTAGGTTCCTGAAAGTTATCTGGGAACTGATCCAGGTTTCAAGCTGAAGATGGTGCTGATGAATAGCCTGCAGGTCATTCTTCAAACCTCTGCATGCAAATCACTGGGGAGAAAGTTCCAGATTCCAAGATCTGTGCCAGTGAGGGCCTGCAGCCTCTACACCTGCACTTACAGAACCCAAAGCGAACCTGTGATTACAGTACACAGCTGGCTGCCTTAAACACAGTGACAGACTTGTTGTGTAACAATCACTGCGTTGTGTAGCTGTGATGTCAGTGGTATTTCAGAGTGCAGATATGTGCCTTAAGATCTGTGAGAATAACTCCGTTTCTCTGTCTTCTAAGACATGTGGAGAGTGCTTTCTCCCCCAGCTTCACTGAGATATAACTGACATCTAGGATTGTGTTAGTCTAAGGCGTATGTACAATGTGATACAGGTATATATTGCAAAATATATCACAATAAGCTTTGAAAAGTTGTTTATTGACCAATTTTAACCTGTTAAAATGATATCATCCAAAAAAGACAACGGGGATGACCCAGTTTTGAATACTTTGGAAACTGTTGTTTATTCTTTCTTGTTAGTGATAGCCTTTTTACTAAGGTTGATCCACACACTGTATATTATTTCTGTGTCTCTTAACATTCTGGAAGTTGCCTATGAATGATTATAAGCAGGTTTGTGGTGTCACACTCTGGAATATTCCTTCCCAAGTTACTAGTTGCAGTGTTATTTCTAGCTGACCAGCTTGCCAATGTGTGTTCTGCTGTAAACATAACACACAGGTGCAGCAATGTTTAGCAGAATTTCTATCCTCTAGCCAGTAGGAGTCATTATTGCCCAAGCATCCTTCTCCATCCCCCGACCCCACCCACCAAGGCTACAAGAACCAAAAGTGATCTCTTCAGGACAAAATTGCTCCTGGTTAGGAACCATTTATATGATGGGATAGGAAATGTATCTATTTCTGGAGAAATGTTTGAGTTTGTGGAGAGATGAAATGGATGGGTACACACTGGTCTGGGTGGAGGGGGTTCCCGGCTGAGCAAGTTCCCTGTGAAAGTGGTGAGACTGAATTAAGGCAAGGGCAAGAAACTGGGGACTCAACGGGTGTTTTACTCTCACAGCAGTAGGTCTCGGTCTCCCCTCCAGTCTGGGCTCCATCCTAGTTCTCCCATCAGGCTTCCCTCCTCTGCTATCCAAGCTCCCTGCTCCCATACTCGGGCTTCATTCTCTGGGAGCACAGGGGCTCCATGGCTCTAACCACCCTCTCCCTGCTCCCCCTGTGGCCCTCTATTCCTCTGCCCCTAGCTCCACAAAGAACTCTGTGGGGGTCCCTGGTGCCTGGCAGATGCCTGACCAATTCTGTACCAGAACTCAGAAGAGGAGACTATGGGTGTTTCCTCTCCCCACCCCTCCCCTGAACAGGTACTCCTGTGACTGACCAGCTGTTCTGTCCCCAGTAAACGTCCCATAGATGAGCAAACAGTCTCTTATATAGATATACAACGGGCACTATTAAGCCCAGGCAGGAATCCTGGTCAGAAATTCCCATTTCTCCACAGTTCATCATTAAAGTGGAAGTTTTTTATATTTTCTGTTATTTTAAATGAATTGACAGAGTTTTCAAATGCTGGCTTGCTTCTAGGTGTAGGTCTCTCCACTTTTTCTCTGTGGGGTTACTCTCTCTTGACCCCATATGCACATAATAAAAATATGTAACAAAGGAATGTTTGTCCATGAGTAATACTGAGCTAAATCCAAGGAATTAAAACTTCCCCATAAATATACTTTCTATTGTAAGTTTACTTTATTTCCTCCAACATTAACGTGTTCTCATTAAGATGAGCTGGCTGGAGTCTTAATAAATTTCTGGTTGCTGGGTGTGCCTTCTATCAGCAGACCTACCTCCTACTCAGACTGGTTTATTCTCAACACTGGCACTTTGTGGTCTAGGCTTAAAATGGAAAAAAAGTAGTCCTACTTGTCTAGTACTTAACTTTTACTTTCTTTTAACAGAAAGTTGAAAATTCAACGTCTAAAATCCAATATGCTTTTGTTTTTAGGATAGTGTGCTCCTTTTAATGATGACTAAAACAAAAAGTAGTGGTGGCTTTCAGTGTGGGGGCTTCCCTGAATAATTTTGCACATCAGATGTACTTGTTTGTAAGTTACTAAGAAAAACAGGTGACAGTCATCATTTGATTTTGCTTTGGGCATTTTATACCATCCTTCCCTGTTTTCACAGAGGAGGATATTCTGGTCTCTGCTGTCCTGGGCCACTGAGCATGTCTTGTTCAGAGACCTGGTTCCTCCTCTGATTGGTTGTAAAGACAATGATCATTGTGTCTGGAAGATCAGTACCTGAGCAGGAAGCCCAGTGTACATTTGTGACTGAGAATGACTCAAAATTGATGAGAGTTGGAAAAGACACTGTGGGAGGTGCTTAGACAGTGCCCACCACAGAGTGATTGATTGTTTAATCAGCACCATGTTTCTCATCACAGTTGCCTCAGTGCTCCCCTGGCATGTTTCAGTCCGACCCTTTTTAAGATCAGGTGAAACAGAATAAGGAGTAACTGGAGGAGAAGGATATGGCAAATTCAGAAAGCAGCATTTCACCAGAGCCCTGTGCTCTGTGCTTTTGCCTTCTCTCTTCCACCCCCAGGTAATCAATGGCTGTCAATGCAAATTGCTCTTTGCTTTTATCTCAAGCAGCAGACAGTAAATGTTGAGAGTCCTAACCTTGGAGACTTGTAATATGATAAAGGCAAAGCCTACACTTACACCTATTACGCAGAATGAAAATAAAATCAGTTTCACTTAGTGTATTATCAGGTGAAATTTAGGCTGTCATATAAAAAATTTAGGGTCAGAGTAGATCAGAAAACAAAACCCAACAGTCATCAATGAGAAAATCCAAAAAAAATGGATGAAAGACCTTAATAGACACCTCACCAAAGTAGGTAAATACCAATGGCAAATAAGCATATGAAAAGATTCTACACATATTATGTCATCAGAGAAATGCAAATTAAAACAATGAGATACCTCTACAAATCTACTAGCAGAGCAAAAATCTAGAACACTGACCACACCAAGTGCTGATGAGTTTGTGAAGCAGCAAAAACTCTCAGTCATTGCTAGTGGAAATGAAAAATGATACAACCACTTTGGAAGACAGTTTGGCAGTTTCTTTCAAAACTGAATATACTCTTACCATACAACTGAGCAATCATACCTTTTTCTATTTACCCAAAGTTTTTCAAAACTTACATCTATACAAAAGCCTGCATGTGGAGACTTACAGCAGCTTTATTCATAATCCCAAAACTTAGAAGCAACCAAGATGTCCTTCAGTAGGTGAATGGATACATAAAGTGTACCACATCCAGGCAATGGAATGTTGTTCCTCAACAAAAAGAAATGAGTTGATTTGGGGAGCCAAGATGGTGGCGTGAGTAGAGCAGTGGAAATCTCTTCCCAAAACCATGTATCTATTTTAAAATACATCAAATACAACTAACTATTCTTGAAAGAGAGACCAGAATATTCAGGACAACAGCCAGGCTACATCTAGATCTGTGAGAACCCAGCACATCATGAATTGGGTAAGATACAAGCTGTGGCCCAGTGGGCCCCGAGTGCCACCCCTACCCCTACTCCCCAGTGGGAGCAGTGGAGTCAAAGCAGGGAGGGAGAGGGAGCCCAGGCCTGCTAAAGGCCCAGACCTAATTATCTGCACCAGGAGTGCAGATACACAGTGCATGGTGTGCTGGATACTAGGGAAATGGATCAGTAAAACCTGTGAGCAGGCACCCACAGCTGGTACCCCTGGGACAAAAGAAAAGCAAGTGCTCTTTGAAAGTCTTAAAGGGGACAGGAGCCTCACAGCTGGACAGAAGCATCCCAGCACACTCAGCCCAACAGCTGGGAATCCCGGGGAACTCCGGGTGCCCTAACCCCCTGGGCGGCAGTGCAGCTCTGACACCCCTCTTGGTGATAAACAGCCTCCTGCTCATTCCCTCTCTGGCACAACCAAGCAATACCAGAGCAGCAGCTTGAGGACAGCCATGCCAACAGCAGCTGCACAGAGCTTCCTCCACAGTGGAAACAGGTGTACAATGAGACAAAGTGAGAAAGGGCAAGGAATCCAGAAGTTCTGGGCCATACCAGGTCTAAAAAAAAAGGACTCTTGAAGTTTTAATGACTTCTTTACTTATACCATTTTGCACAAGGATATGATCATTTTCCATTTGCTCTTTTGGACAGGCAAGCCTTTTGGTTTTTGTTTCTTTCTAATCTATACATGGTTAGCCAAGTATTAGATAGGTGATCTTTTTCGTTCCTTGACCTAAACTTTTCTAGCAACATGTACTCTTTTGTGTCTCTCGTTTTTATGCAACTCAGTTTCTAAGTAATGCATGTGACCACAGAAACATGCAGTACATAGCAGTGACTATGGAGTCATCAGCTATGGGTGAAATACAGTTCACTCCCTACTACAGTTAGCTAGGTAGGTATCATCATCTATATTTCTAATGCAATGGGTACATTTTATCCTCTCATAATATTTTTTCCATTGTAGGTAGATGGAAGATAAAGATAGAAAGCATGATTTAGTGCTGTAAGAAGGCAAGTGTAGATGATCAGATCTATGCCTATAGACTAGGTATTAATCCAAGTTAAACAAGGGCAACAAAACATCCACGGTGTAGAAGACCTCTCTAAAAACTGGGGGTGGGGGTGAGGTTCTAAGCGTCACCTCCGTTAGTCCCCATTTTCTGACATGATGGCCCCCCTGCAACTGTGCCTGTCTTAGATTGTTCCTCCCTTGAGGAATCTTACCCATCTCAGGCTAACCAGCCATCTGCCAAGGCCATACCGGGAGATGTAAAGCTGATAAGTGAGAGAGAAGTAATGTTCCTTGAAAAGGTTAGTTTTTCACTTCTTTGCAGATTTATGCCCTGTGGCTTCCAGGTGCAGCACATGTCTTGAGGTATTTTTAGCACTTGGAAAAATTATGGTACTTGGTAATTTCACATATGAGGCATGAATTCTAGTAAAGGGCTGTAATTAGGAAGGAAGAAGAAACGCTATAGAAGTGGCAAAGGGAAGAAAACATAAGAAGATTAAGTGTCAGACAGGGTTATTCCATTCAGTATTCCCCTATAACTCTATTTCTCTAATTTTCTTATAACACTCTTCAGCACTAATTTCACTAGCATTGTAAAAAAGGGGGACATTCCCACTTAGTGAATATGGGGCAGTCAGTGTTCGAATAACTAACTGCAGGTTTCAGTATTTTATGCCAAGATTGCCATCTGGCCCTTACGTGTTCTCTTCTTCAGGAGCACTGTCCTGAAAAGCTTCTGGGAAACTTATGTTCTCCTCCTTTCCATGCTGCTTATCAAAGGTTAGCTTAGTCTTTGGCAAAAATGCAAGCAAAAGCAAAGCGAATAGTATAATGGAGAATAACAAAATCAAGGTGGGTAATAGGGGGAGACAGCTGCAAAGGCCCTTGCTTTGTGGGGGTCTTCCTTCAGCCTGAGCTTCGCTACCAGCTTGAATAGCAAGGGTCCCGGCAAAGACTCAAGTTACTAAAATCAGGAGTGAAGGAGGGGACATCACCACCAACCTTACAGAAACAAAATGGGTAATAAGAGAAGGTATGTGAGCATCTCATGCCCCTGGCCCCCCTGGATATTTTTGGCTGTTTGGCTCCCCATAATAGGATGCAGGTCATTGATTTTAATGAGCCCGTGAAGGACATAGAATGTTGTAAGGAAGGGCACTGAATTATGCCTGGGCTGAGTCCATGGATGATCCCTGTAAGTTATGATCTCCTCTGAAACGACTCTCACTGCCACTGTCATGAGGCATTAAAGAGAGGGAGAGATGAGTCCCTTTGTTCTCCTGAGTGGGCTTCCCACCCTCCGGCTTCACTTTCTTTCCATTTTTACGGGGCATCACTAGTGAACCTAGCAAGAATGCTTTCACCAACATTGTAAGTTGTCCCTCCCTATTTTTGGTCCTGCACTTACTCTTTTTGAGAGAACAATAATGATTTTAGTAAATTTACAGAGTGGTGCAACCATTAGTACAATCCAATTTTGGAACATTTCCATCACCCCACAGAGTTTCATGCCCATTTCCTGCCTCTGTGTTTATTCATATGGGTCCCGTGTATTACCTTTCCCCTCATCACCCTGATCTCTGCTAGCTCTTCCACCTCCACATTAACAGCAGAACAAGGGTGTGAACATTACATTGATAGTTTACTCTAAGCCCAACTCTATGCTACTTGTTTTATATTTGTTAATCTAATTTTTGTATGTTTCATCCTTTCTCATCTTAGAAAACCAGAAGAACAAAATGTCAACAACCTCATATAAATAAGCATATGCTTATTTGATATATCTTATGACTGCTCTGCTTCCAGATTCATAAGCTCCTGTCTGCTTTCTCTGCCCTGTTCCTTGCCAGCCGTGCTTCCCCCTCAGCCTGGCATCTGCCCCACCTGACCCCACCCTTTTCCTCACTCTTGCTGAGGTTAGCAGTGATGTTTCAATAACAAACCCAACTGACACATCAGTCTGTATCTTTAGCTCCTGGTTTCATGGAGGATCTCCCAAGTGCCAAGCACTATGCAGGTGCTCAGAATAGAAAGCAGAGGAAGGGATGGCCCCTGCCTTAAAGTAGCTTGTAGTGTGGTGGGGAAACAAGCCCTTGAAGAGAAGACACCCAGGCAGAGCGCTGAGAGCAATGAGGGATGTGTGCACATAGGGTCAGGTGGAGGTGCAAGGCATTGTTATGCTTGTATTAGGTGTTACTGGGTGTAAGGTTCAAGAAGGAGGTGGCAGACAAGCAAGTTCTGAGGTAGGCAAGGCCTGACTCACAGTGAGTTCTGCAGACCGCTGTCAGAGGCAGGGAATCTGCGTGCAGCTCAGCTAGGGACTCTTGCTCTGCATTTCTTATTGGGCTGGAATCAGGGTGTCCGCGGTGGTTGGGGTCTCATCTCAAGGCTCCTCTGGCAGAGGATGCTCCTCCAAAGTCACTCTCATGGCTTTGGCAGGATTCAGTTTCTCTCAGGGCCACAGTTCCTTGCTGGCTGTTGGCCAGTGGCCACCCTCACTTCCTTGCCAAATGGGCCTTTCCATAGGGCAGCTGTCAATACAGCAACTGCTTCTCAAAACGGAGGTGTATAGCCAGAGAAGTAGTGAGAATGAGCCAGGCTGGGAGAGCCTGAGAGAACTGACAGTGGTGGTGACTGAAGAAGTGGTGGGACCTTCCAAAGGGGGTGGCCACTTCTCCCATCCAGCCTGTTGGTGCCAGTGGGAGTGTGTGCCCGACACTGCAGGGCGTCTCATTCTCAAGTTCAGCTGGATGTGTGGATTTTTATGTGAAATCATCCAGCTTTAAATGTTGGCAACAAATCATAAAATGTGTTTAGTATTGTGTGGGTGAATCAAAACACACCTGGAGGCCAGGTCCGCTTCCCCCCCTTGCAGCCACCTGTTGATGACATCTCCATTCTGCCTTGCTCATCATCTTTGGAGAAGACAGTAAGTGTCCAGGAAGTGTTGCCAGTGTTTTTCTGGGACAGAAGAGAAAAGAAGACCCTCCATGAAGCCTTTTCGTCTGCCCTCACTTAACTTGGGACCAGACCCTCAGTTTCATTCAACAGATCAGACTGAATATTTGTCAGTCATGTTCACAATATGGAGCTGGCATAGAAAACCAAGAATCTGGGGGAGGATATTTTATTTTTACTGCAGTACACTTTATTACTTCCCTTTTAATTTAGTGAATTACATGGTATTATTCTCTGCATCTTCCCTGCTCCTCAAAGAAAAGTGGTCATTGGTGTCTTCACTCGCCTCTTACAGAATCCCTTTTTTAGAAGAGGAAATTCTGTAAGATATTTTTGAAAACCCATAAGGTAGATCATTGCATGCCATATTCAGTGTATTTGGTCCTTGGAATTGGAATCATTGTACTCAATTAACATAAAATTCAACTAATGATGCAATAAATTCTAAAAATCATTAAGATAGATAAGATGGATGTTTTTCATGTTGTTGTATTGGTTTAACCATGGGAAGACATTGCCAGGGTCTCATTGGATGGGAGAAAGGAGGAACTAAATGTGCTTTATCAAATTCAAGCAAAAAAAAAATGAGGATGGTTGACTTTAGAAACTAATTGTCTCTGAATATTTTGCCTAATTTATTGATTTCACTTGTTCCAGAAAACTCTAGTGTGAGCAAAACATATTATCCAACACACTAAGGCCAATGGTGAGGTGTGTGGATGACTCAGATTGTTTACTCTGTCTAGAGGGAGATGGGAGGTCATTTTTGACTTGCAAATTTCCTATTGCATTTCAATGAAGGGGAAAGAAACACTGGTTATCTTCAAAAATGGAAAAGCAAAATATCAGTGCATAAAAAAGAAGAGAATATGTGCAGTTCCTGTATTTCAGTTTTGTGAGATTGGGTTGGATAAATATGCTGGGAGAAATTTGTGTTTTATTGCACATAAAACAACTGGGCACAATAAATGCAGAATATAAAAAGAAGTCGACAATTGGCCTTTAACAAATGTATGTATCTTGGAGTGTAGTTAAATCTCAGTGTGATTCAGAGTGCAGGTCTCTCCTTATACATGTATTGACTGCACAGAAATCAAATTTACATGCAGTTGTATGCAATGCAATGTGCACCATTTAAGACAGTTCATAGAGATGGTGTACCTACAGAATTGGCTTTCCCCCCACATCCTTTCATGATGAGAATTCCAAGGCATGTGATAAAATGCTCCACATCACTAATGAACAGGGTAATGCTAATCAAGGCCACAATGAGATATCGCCTCACACTAGTCAGAATGGCCACTCTCCAAAAGACAAGAAATAACAAGTGTTGGTGAGGATGTGGAGAAAAGGGAACCCTCCTACACCATTGGTGGGAATGTCATTTGGTGCAGCCACTGTGGAGAGCAGTATGAAGATTTCTCAGAATACTAAAATTAGGAATATTATACAACCCAGTAATTCTACTTCTAGGAATTTACTGGAAGAAAACACAATCTCTGATTTGAAAAGATATATGAACCCCTATGTTTATTGCTGCATGATTTAAAATAGCCAAGATACAGAAGCAACCTAAGTGTCCATCAATAGGTGAATGAATAAAGATGTGGTATCTATACACAATGGAATATTATTCAGTCCTAAAAGAAGAAAGAAATCCTGCTACTGTGACAACATGAATGGATATAGAGGGTATTATGCTCAGTGAAATAAGTCAGGAGGAGAAAGACAAATACAATATGATTTCACTACACGTGGAATCTAAAAACAATACAAAACAAAATGAACAAAACAGCTCATAGATGCTGAGAAGTGACTGGTGTTTACCATGGGGGAGGGGTTGAGTAACAGGGATAAAAGGCACAAAATTTCAATCATAACATACATTAGTCACAGGGATGAAAGTACAGTGTACAGAATAGAGTCAATAATTCTAAAAAAATTTCCCAAAGGGGCTGCTTCCTGGGAGGAGTCTGTGTTCTTTCTTCCCCGCTCATCCCCATCTGTCTACTGCCATCCCCCTCCACCCCACCTCTTTCCTTCTCTTTCCCTGTCTCCTTCTTTTTCTGTCACTCTTTCCCTTGTAGGCTAGAATCCTGGCTTCTAATTTGCAGTGTATTTTAGAAAGGAGAATTCTGTCAGCTTCTCTTGAAAAAAAGCAACCTTCCTGTTCAGGCACCAGCCACCACTTCATGCCTCCCAAGAGTTCAGAGGAGCCCAGCTGCTCCCTGAATGGTTGGGGAAATGAATTGCTGGGTTTCCTCTGAGGACCATCAGAAATACATAGTTGTTAATAATTTCTTGATTTTTTAAGTGAATTATATCTCGATTTTTAGAAAGAGAAATACACAGTTAATTGGAGGAACAGCATGAGCATGAGTCCGTCCTCCTCTGCCCAGAGGCACCTGGAGCTCCACTGGACCACTGCTGGTCCCCAGGTGCCCCCAGCACCATTGCCCCATCATCCAGTGCCTGAGTGGTTTTGACCACTAAATGACAGCTCAGCGACCCCTTCTCTTGGCCAGGACACCCTGGTGGAATTTGGGTCATTCGACCCTGGCTGCCTGATGCCCAGCTGCCCAGATTACTGGACCTACTTGGGGTCCCTGACTACCCCGCCACTCTACAAGTCCATCACCTGGATCACTAAGAAGCAGCCTGTAGAGGTGGACAGTGATCAGGTTCATTCTGTCCACATTTTTGTATGAGGCCATTGCGGCTGGCTCTTTACAAGGCTACACTCACAATTTAGGCCTCAGTTTTGTTTGTTTGTTTGTTTGCTTCTTTTGGTATCATTAATCTACAATTACATGAGGAACATTATGTTTACTAGACTCCCCCAACACCAATTTCCCCCTTTAAACCCCATCACAGTCCCTGTCCATCAGCATATTAAGATGCTATAGAATCATGACTTGTCTTCTCTGTGTGGTACAGCCCTCCCTGTGCACCTACCTACATTATGTCTGCTAATAGTAATGCCCCCCCCTTTTTCCCCCATCCCTCACTTCCCACCCAGCCTCCCCAGTCTCCTTCACTTTGGTAACTTTTAGGCCTTTCTTGGGTTCTGAGAGTCTGCTCCTGTTTTGTTCCTTGACTTTTTTGGTTTGTTCTTATGCTCCACAGATGAGTGAGATTATTTGGTACTTGTCTTTCTCCACCTGGCTTATTTAACTGAGCATATAATACCCTCTAGCTGCATACACGTTCTTGCAAACGGTAGGATTTGTTTTCTTCTTATGGGTGAATAATATTCCTTTTTGTATATGTACCACATCTTCTTTATCCATTCATCTACTGATGGACACTTAGCTTGGCAATTGTGAATAGTGCTGTGATAAACATAGGCATGAATATATTTTTTTCAACTGAACCAGAGGGGCCCATTGTTCAGATGGCATGCGTGCCCCATGACAGTCGCAGGTCTGGCAGGTGGTAACCCGGTGCTCGCAGGACCACATGCCCGGGCAACTCCACATTCTGTCCTTGCACCACAAAGCCAACGGTCAGCTGAGCCCTGGATACCTCCATCTGCAAAATCAAGGAACTTCAGGGAGCTGAACAGTGCACATGCCACACTGTCATCATGGGCAGCTACTTGGTCAGAGCCTGAGCCTGACAATCACCCGCAGCCAGGCCCAGCCACAGCTCTCAGTCCATGCACAACCACTTCCTGCCATCCCACCAGGCTGGTCCCGCATCAGAACCCCCAAGAGGAAGACTCCCGATGCCCGGAGGCACTAGCTCGGCAGGCTGCCCAGCCCCCACCCTGTCAGACAGCCCTTTCCGGCCGGCGCAGGATTCTGATGCAGCACTAACACTGCTCCACCCATTGCCCTGGTGCCTGTGGAACCTGGACACCCTGCCGCTCACCCAGCTTGGGGATGGAGGCAGTTTCTCCAGCGGCCCACCTGCTGAGAGGTGCCCGTGCCAGGCTGAGGACACCAAGCCGAGGGCCCGTACCCCAGACCGGGGCAGGAAAAGGAGCCTCAGCAGACCTCCCTGTCTTGAGAGCCACAACACCAAGTGGCAGTTGCTTAGCCCGGAACCTTCAGGCTCGCTCAGAGAGATGTAGGGGTCCCTGCCAGCGCATACAGCCCCCGGCCTCTACAAAGCTTACACCACAAGCACCGCCTGCCTCCTGCACACCCTCTCCTCTTTCCCCACCCCAGGATGGCAACTCCCCTTTACCCGCCTTGCCCCTATCTGAAATAGAAACAGGAGGCAGTTCTCTGTTACACAGTTTGTCCGTGTCTTTTTTGGATAGAGTCACAGAGCGGGATCTCATCCACGGCACGGTCTCTCCCCGAGGCCCTGGGAACGCCTGGGGTCGATAACTGCGGTTGGCTGGCTGCCGTCCTCTGCACTGGAGGGGTGTAGCAGAATCCCTGGCCTCCCTGCTCTAGGTGCTGGTGGCATACCCCCATTGTGAAAATAAATAATATCTCCAGTCACTGCCAAATATTCCTGGGGTGCCGGGGGCGGGGGCGGAGGAGGGAGTACCTGTCAAAAAAAAAAAAAAATCACACCGGTGGAGAACCTCTGAGGGACAGTGCCCTCTGCTGGCAGAAACAGTCAGACTCGGGCTCCGAAAATGGGGGTTGGGGGCGAGATTTGGCGCACATCAAGATACAAAGGTGAGCACCGTGAAGTGCTGTATGCTTGCCAAAAACATTGCCCCCATTGAGAAGAATGTTCTGGGTGTGAATCATTCATGGTTTCGCCTTATAGATAAACACATCATGTAAATGTAAAAAATATGATCTGCTTATTTAACACTCTTCGGGCTGGGAAACATTAAAAATTAATATAAAATGCTGTAAAGACAGAGAACGTGAGTCCCAGGCAGTACAGCGGTGTCAGGGGGCAGCCATCCGGAGCAGCACTGGGGAGTGTTCCCCGGAACAAAGCGCGGCTTCCAGAAACCAGCACACACACACACACACACACACACACACACACACACACACACACACACACACACA